CCGAATGACATGAAAGGTCAAAGGATCGCCCATATTTCTCAACTGACCTGTTTTAAAAATATTCTCAGAATTCGCCGTTTTATTTACCTCATTTTTCCTTCGCCTGATGTGTAGTTGAAATGATTGATCTTCCCCGGGCTGTAATCTCGTTGGGTGAAGCCATGTGCCAGAGTGCTTTTTTGAGCCTTGAATTTCGTCTAGCCATGGGTAAAAATTGTGCTTGCTTGACCCTCGTTAATTGTAGTGTAAACTACACGTAAGCCTTTTCTTACACATATTTTACTATACAGCTTTTCAATTGCCCAAGCTGAATTTTTTATATGTTGTAAAACAATAACAGGGCTTTGCAAAAATGTATTTTTAATTTACGATTACCCTATACCAAGGTACGAAAATTGCCTTCAAAAATGCCCTATTTTTAGGTTGTTTTCATAGTGCAAAAACTAGCAATTTTCGGGCGCTCCTAACCCGACGTGAAAATACATTTCTTGGCAATATTTTTACATCGTTGTGTTGTAATTGTGATGCCAAACATACATGTAAAAGATCATGTTAATAGACCGAGCCGTCTTTCTCTGAGACTGATGTGAATATGTCCAAAATTTTCGACTGAATTTACTGCGGCCGCAGCGCGAAAACCGCAATTCTCCTTTTTGTTGGATTTCTCAAAATCAAAAAAACTCTCTGGCAAGTTTTAGTCTTATTTTCGAAAAGTGTTCACCAAAGGGCTTCTCCTGGCAAAATATGAAGAAATCCGTGATTTCAGTTTTGAAAATCAGTTCTCGATATTTGTTCTTAAAGACCCCTTCGTACACGAGACCCAGGTCACTGAAGTTCGCATCATCATGGCCTCTGCTATGGCGTGGGCTACAGCCATCATCCTTTCCAACGAAAACCTTTTGCCCACAGCAAATGTACTAGTGTCTGAAACGCTGCTTCTCATTCTACCCATTTACGTCAATGTCTCTGAATACAAAGAAGTCCGTCGCACCTACTGAAAAACAAATTGCTGCTAACCAAGTTTCTTTAGAAGCCAAGGAAAGTTACTCAAGAAAAGGAGAGCTTTTTACACCACTGTTATTGTACTGCTAACTATTTTACTGTGTTATATTCCAACAACTATCTGTTCTGTTATTCTGATATCTTTCAAGGAAAGAATTCCTCCCAATATAATGATTACTGCTTCGTTTGCTTCTACTTTATTGCCAGTTCTGAATTCGTTGTTTAATCCGTTGATTTACGCTTTTAGAATAAGATATTTCCGCGTAGCTTTCATTCAGTTGTTGTCAAGAAAAACTATTTCACAAGCTGAGGAACACGAAAAGAAAATCTTTGGACCAAAAGAGATTGGAGTCAACGGTAATGTTAATACTGGAGAAGGGAAATCACACATTGAACAATGAACACGAACCGACAAGGCAGGCAGAGCCGCATGGTGGATGAAAAGAAACATCTCTGAGATAAAACAGATTTAAATCTACGAAAAAAGTGAATTATAAAGTGCAAAAGGCAGACACGTAACCAATTAGTTGTGAAAAAGGAACGAAAGCGTGCTTTCCTACAGTTTGAAATTTATTAAATTGTTGATGTTTCAATTATTTTGTAATCCTTGTTTAATTCCGATAAGATAGGATCTTTTTATTTATTCGGGCTGGGCAACGTTCTAAGAACAAATTAATAGCCAAGCATTTTACTTTACAAGCATGTGTATAGTGTCAGTTTTTAACCTCATAATAAATATTTTTTTTTTTATCATGGACATCAAGATTATCATTTTACTGCACAAAAGTAACTATTTCAAATTCGAACAGTCGTGAAAATCTGATCATTGAGGGACAAAGGTAAGTGCGAAACAACAAAAGAAAACCGTGAACCCGACAAACTTTCTTATCGCTCGCACTCTTCGCTTCTCGCAGGACTAGACTTGCAAGAGAGCAGTTTGAATTTGTGTTTATTTTCTGCGCTAAAAGCTTAAGGCGTAGAAAATATTTTTTGGCTTTAATTACATGTGGATCATAAATAGCTGACGCACACTATCGAACAGATGTTCAACGAAAAATAACCGCTTTTTGTAACAAAAACAAATCTCTTATTTGACTTGGTTGGAGTTGAGGTTGCTTAGTTTTAATATAAAAACTAATGAACAAGCAAACTACCCACAACATTTTATCATTGCGGTACTAATAAATGAAAACTACAGCGACAGCAGGCGAGAGTTAGGGAAAAAATCGTGTAATTGCCCTAGTAATTAATATTCTGTTAAAACTCACCAGACACTAAAAATTATTTTCAGCAAGTCTTTTTTAAACTGCAATTTGCAATGTAAATGCCATGAAATTTCCACCGCGCGCAAACTATTGTCTAATTTTTAATTATTTCATTTTATGTGTTTTTTTTCTTCCTTCGAACTATCTCTTATTAACACAGGTTGGCTGGTCGAGATGGCGGCAACTAGTGACCTCGTCGCTCTTAAGGCGGACGCAAAAAAACAACAACAACAACAACAAAAAACAAAAAGAAACTGAAAACATAAACAAAAACACACGGAAAACCTTACTGAAGCTGCTTTCATATTAATTTGCTTATTATTTCGTAATCATGTTGTTTTTACGTGTTCTTCTTTTAAAATTTTTCTTTGCGCTCCTGCTTTTAATTAAGAGTCCCTGATGTTTTAAAAAAAATCAAAACTTCCAATGAAAGGTAAAGCTCTTAAGCTAAGTTTATTCCGTGTTCTAGAATTGGGAATTGTTTTAATGTGAACACTATAGTCCTCACTTCTTAAGTACAGCAGAAATATTTTATTTCCGGGTAATTGGTATTCACTAATTAAAAAAAAAAAAACAAATAAATAAATGAACGATATACAAGTAGTAAGAACTAAATTAATGGTACGTTTAAATTTTGGGGGTTCTTCAACTGTATTCGTGCGAAGTATTTTAAAAAAACTCTAAAAACCATAATCGTTACAGATAAAAAAATTAAAATGGTCGTTTCACTGCTTATTGGTACTATAGCTAGTGATTGGTGAATCGGCCTCCAAACTGGGAAGAACCAAACTTTCGAATCAATGCAATTACATTTAAATTTAGTTAGTGTAAAGTCTGCATAAGAGCTAAGTGGCCCATCAGGCCGGAGCTTATCCAGGTTTCTGTAACATGAAGCGACTAGGAGTATTTTTACTCCCCCCTGGGTGGGATGCTAGTCCATCGCAGGGTTGCCCACAGCAGTAAGGTCGCTGGTATCCGTTTATACACCAGGGTAGCGAGAGGCACTGTAAGTGTCTTGCCTAAGAACACAACACAAAGTCCAATGTGGTAGAAATACGCAGAAAATTTAAATCGAGTGGACCGTTCTTAGAACGCCAGAAATTCCTTTTGTTTTGATCTTCTTCCAGTATCTCAAAATATAAACGAATTATAACTGAAAGTCAGAAGTAAGAAATTGACGATACCCCAGCTTTGTGTGTTTACTTTAGCAAAATAGTATTCTGTCAAAAAAGTAGAATTTTCTTCCTCCATCGTACATGTTGTTTTGTGATATATTTTAAAGCAAGATCAGTTTTCAGGGCGCTTTCCTCCAAAACTGACCATGATTAACCAAAGTACAAATTTATACTTCGTTCGAAATGAAAGGTACCAAAAAATATGTCACAGTAATGAAGAAAAGAGGGATTTGAAAAGAGCGCAAACACAGCTACAAAAGAGAACGCGAATTACCATGGTAACAAAGTGCAGCATTTAGGCCCCGTCCACACGTATCCGGATATTTTTGAATCCGCAGCTTTTTCTTTCCGGATACGGCTTGCGTCCACACGCATCCGGCGAAATCGGCAGCGAATCCGGATATTTGTTAATCCGCTTTCCAGAGTGGAAAAAAATAAGTCCGCAACTAATCCGATAACGTGTGGACAGCGATGTATTTTGAGTAATCACTTTGGGCCACCAATTGCAAGTTTCCATAGTTATGTGTCAGTTTTACTAAAAACGCAGCCAAATGATATATTTCACATCAAAACAAACGAGAGCAAGTCAAATTACTCATATTTTATCTGGACCAAGTATAGCATTTTAAAGGTAAGCGTTCGCTGTTTTATTATGTCTAAATTTTTCGTCCAATTCTAAAACAAAGAAAAGCAGAGGGGTGTGTTTAAAGCACGAAATGGCGAAATGATGAAATGGTACTGCTGTTAGGTTAAATAGCGCTTAGGTTGCATACTCGAAAGTGGGTAGCTGTCAATAATTAATTGTAAGAGTTAAACCTTACAGACACCCATATCCCACATTGCCTCTTAACCGTGGCGCCATTTCGTGTTTTAAAAACACCGAAGCTCCAGGTAACCGGTCAGCAGGTTTTTTGGCCTTTGTCACTCTTTAACACTGGCACTGAAGCACAACCATAATTAAGAAAAGTTCGAAATGATGTCCGTCGCATCTTTGTTCACGTAGTCGACAGACTGACCGACTTGAACACGCGTTTTTGTTCTTTGTTCAAGATGCTCTAAAGCAGTTAGATCGTCACAACGAGTAATCCATATTGTTCCTGTTCATTACTGGCGGGGGGTAATCCCAGAAAAATCACTGTCCTATTTAAGACCAAAGTCTGCGATTTTCCCTACCCTAGTTAAATAATCGTTTAGCCATCATCGTTTAACCATCATTTCTCAGTAGTATGTAACCAGACGATTTCTGCGTCTGAGTAAAATTTGATTTCTGACAATTCACTGTGCAAAAGACCAGCAACTCGCCGCGGAGCAATTGCGAAGTTATAGAATTCTTTTGTTAACTCATTTAACTTCTAATCCTACATAGCCCTTTTCCGCGAAGCCCACTTGAAAATTTTTACCTTGTTTCCTGTCATTTATTTGTGGTGCAACTTTTTCAATTGACAAACGTACATGAATGCATTTTAATTCAGTTCTTTGTTTGGTTTTCTTCATGTTTGCATTGTAAAGAAATGAGCTTCTTTGAAATGTAAAATCTGATTTTTTGACACATCTATCGTGAAGCCTTCATGTCTGGTTTAGTATCCATTTAATATCATTGCTCGCAATTGCCTTCAAAAGGTTGAAGGTGCAATACAGATCACGTAACTTTGAACTAATGTATTCACCGAATCATTACATTGGTACTCTAAAGATTTGAAGATATTCTTAATTCTTTCGTGTTCATTTTTCTTTCTTTTTTTCCTTCTTTACTTCTTCTCAGAAGCCGAGATGTGGCCAAGATCAGTGACGAGATTTGGCGGAGTTTTAGTTGGTATAGTTATTGGTTCAGGCGTTGTAGGTCTATTGGTCGCATGGACGAATAAAGGCTTTTACATGACGACACCAACGCCTAGGATAACACCTGGTAAAAAAGAGGTTTGATATTGTATCTTAAATGTCGCCATTGCATAGATATGTTCAGAGTACGCTTATAGTATCACCTATCAGATTAAACATGAAATGGCAGCGTTTAGTTCCAAAAATAATAAAAATGCATGTGAAAAAAAAACAACAAAAAAAAAACAATAGCCGCCGCGTTCACCTTCTTCAAAATAAGGACGACGGCTAAGAAAGGTACCAAGATTCAAATCGTTGTTTTTGGCGTTTTGTCGTGGCTTGCTCAAATATGTGTTTAAAGTAGCTGGCAACAGTTTCCAGCACTTTTTAGCACAGGCGTTGGTTTCACACTGATAAACAAGTTGTGGTAATCTTCACGACATAATGGGTTACCATAGTAACCGTAGAGCCTATAACTCAAAATTATTTTTTGTTGTTGTTAAATTGTATTAAGCATAATATGATATACAGCTTTTTGCGAAGTGTAAAACAATTCTAAGAAAGGGGTTCAGAGCCACCTTACTTAAAACTTTAGAAAATTTAGGCCTAAGTATGGGGGTAAACTTACGGTGAAAGATTTTCCGGAAAAATGTGACGATAGAATCGAGTTAGAGAGAACTTCGAGAAATCGAGGGCTCGAGAAAACGACATTCAGGAGTACAGTCGAACCACAACAGCCACCTTGGAGACTTAGGAAAGTGCCGCTGTAGAGAGGTGGCCTTTATGCGGAGGCAGAGGTTTAATATGGCACCTGCTTTTTTTTCCAGGGGTACAACACGTTATTGTTAAAAAAAAGAAAAAATGCGTATTGTAGCATATTAATGCGTAACACGTTCAAAATATTCATCAATAAAACAGAAACCGAACAAAAACAGAGACCAACAACGCGTGGCACGGCCTCTGTTTCGTGACCCTTTGCAACAAAACATTGGGTTTTGTGTATACTGTTCGTCAGTGGTTGATTAAAAGGCCATTGTCGAGAGATCTTTGGAAGTTGGGATGCTCTTTAGTCGATGTTACCGTTGTTGAGGGGCGACCTTTGTAGAGGAGCTAATTAAGGCTGGTTTTCACTATATCGCATAAGCATAAGCCGACATTCGCAGAAGCAGTATAATGTTGCTTAGTAACACCTTTTGTTAGGAAATATCCCAAGCAAAAGGCGCTACTTAGCAACGCTCTACTGTGTCTACGAATGTTGCTTATGCTTATTCTTCAAAACCCAGCTTTTAAAGTAAGAGGAACGTATGATTCATCCGCCGGGACCAAAAAAATTGTATTTTTTCTTACGCTAAGGAATGCACGCTTGCTAGTAGGGCTATTTCAGATGCTCGGTATTCACAGTTAGTATTGTTTTGGCTTTGATATAGCGCATGACTATTCGTGTTTCGGTATATAAAGCATTCTTTTGCCGTTCAATGTCACTCGACGGCATCTCTCCCTGTATTCCTGTCAATTTTCTTTTATTTTTGCCAAATAATTGTACTTTAACATTGCCCGTGTATTCCCATTCCTAACCCTAACCCTAACCCTAACTCTAGATCTAGCTATCATTAACGAGAGGCCTAGTCTATTCCTGACTCTTGTCTGCGGCTGATGATGTTTCGTATGAAAACGATTTGCTCTCGTTTCACTGCAGAGTGATTAGAGAACAAGGGCCGTTGTGGAGATGTTGCCGTCAGTGAAGCTTCGACTATTTTTTGTTTCGCAACGTCTACATTTTTAAACGTTTCTCATGAAAATTTTACCTTTTTTTTCGTTACTGTAGATGAATCAAACTCCCAGAACAACTTGTACAAAGCTTATGGTCACGTGCACACCATCTTGTTTTTCATTGGTTATCCACGCAGTCGTCACAGTCTCCTGGGATCGCTGCTGGATGCTCACCCGCACATGGTTGTTTCGGACGAGTCAATGGCTTTCCCTAGATGGAAAGGAATCCTGAAAAGCAAAAGAAATGTTTCGGTTTACCAATTTTATGACACATTGTTTGGAGCCTCAGAGCGTGCAGTAACACAAGGCAGAAGGTCACGTGTGCAAAAAGGCAGCGTGGTAAACAGGACCTCTGAATATAGTTATCGTGTACCGCACCAGTGGCAGGGGAGCTATGACCATCACATTGAGGTAAGACGTTTTGCCAAAATTCAAATTTATCCCCGATTTAATGCCTTTTTTCGTGATATCGAAAAACAACCAGACACTTTCTGAAAGTACAGTTAAAAAGTGTGTAGTTTCGATACAGTTTCTTACACTGGGTATCCTGTTTTCAATGCCTCCTACGTAAGTACAGCATAATAAACAGTACCACATAAAAGGACTGTTCATAGCTTTCATTTGAACGGTCACACACTAGGGTTTTGTCCACAGACTTAAAAGTTAGAACCACCTTAGCTTATACAGCATAATAAACAGTACCACATGAAAGAACTGCTCAATAGCTTTCATTTGAATGGTCACACACTGGGGTTCATCCACAGATCTAAAAGTTAGAGCCACCTGGTACTTAACAAATAAAGAAGCCTCGACTGTGCTCTTTGCTGTTGTAAAGCACGCAGTAAGCGGTAGAGCACGAAAGAAGTGTAAGGGGAAACACGAGACGTAGTCGAGTGTTTCTCTGTACTTCTCGGGTGCTCTATCGCTTCCTAAGTACTCTAGACTGCTACCACTGGTTCTACACCGAGTACAGGAGGGAATATCATAGTAAGCTTCAAACTGATCACTCGTTGGGTGAGCGTTGTTACGAAATTGTCGAGGTTCACTTCGCTGAGATGACCGGAGATCGCTAGTAAGCAAACGAGCGTTACTAACTGTTTGTAAATGTTGAGCATTTTTACAAAAATAAAGCTTTTCATCTTAAACAGAGACAGCTCAATTGGTGTTTTCTGTCGTTGTTTTTCTTCTTAGGTGTAATTTTTGCCTTCTTAACAAATGTAATGTATAATGTATCGAAGCTTTCGCTAGGTTGAGAATTTGTTTATTTCGCTATTTTTTTGTGTCGGGATCTAGCAAAACTTGTTATTTTAGTACAGTTCTAACACTCCTCTTGCTAACAATGGTCTCCGTAAGCCAGATTTACTGCAGACATAGAGCTCGTTTCCACTGCGTTTGTTTGAGTCACACGGGATGTTTAATTTGGGTCAGATTTGTCAAAATTCCGAATAAAAATTTGAAAGCCAGCTTACCGTCATCAACCCGTGCATCTGTTCTCTGATAAAGCACGCTGTTTCAGCCAATGGGAGCGCGCGTTTTATGGAAACTATATTATAAAGCTTAATACACAACACCACAAAAAAGTAACGCTTAATAGCTTTCATTCGAATGGTCACACACTTGGGTTTCATACACAGAAGTTGATTTGGGTATATTTTTTCTCGATGGCACTCACTATAGGTCTGACTGTTATAAAATGGAATTTTTAAGGGATGAATTACAGTACAGCAAATGTAAGCCACTCTATGGACTACTTTGAGGTTTAATTTCAAATTTTCGAGACCATCTGGCCCCACCCTCTTTTTCAATTGCAGTCCCAGCCGTATAGCTCTAATTACGGGACTATTTGCGTTTGTAGGTCATGGGCGACAAATCTGGGGCCTTTACAGCGAGAGCGATGAGAGACGACGATGCTTTAGACGCTGTCCACCTTTTAGAGCAAGCTTCTGGCGCCGAGGTGAAGTTTATCCATGTTGTGAGAAACCCATTCGATAACATCGCAACCATGACTCTTCAGGAGGAGGGAATTAATAAACGAGATGGAACACACGAAACCAAGGTATGAAGGATTACACGCTATAACCTGGGCTCGGCTACCAGCCGCTGCTCGAGAAAGTAGCCTGCGCTCATCAAGCCTAGCTATAACCACGAGAAAGGGAAAATGAACGGATTGCTCCGGGATTGTCTCACGATGAAGATAAACAAATATTTCAAATAGGACATAAACCATTAAGAATCCCAACTGGTGAGAGGCCGACCAGTTGGCTATTTACACAACAAGGTCGAGGAGTTGAACTCGGGACTACCGAGAACAAATTAACGTAATGGTAGGGTGGAGTATTTGAACAGTGACCTCTAGATTTCAAATCCAGTGCCCTAAACCACTCGGGTACGCAACCTCATATATTGCTACTTTTTACCATCATTGTTTTCTCGTGACACATGGCTCAGGAACAGTACTTTGCCATAACTATGGTAATATTGAGACGAGAATAGATTTAGTCAGCCAAAACTCATAAACTAGACAAAACGTTTTTTTTTTTTTTTTTTATTACCAGGTTGATGCCCCGGACGTAGTTGATCAAAATATATACCGGTATTTCGGCTGGGCTGAAGGAAGCAACAAAGCCAGAGAAGCCCTACCGGGCCAGGTCATTGATATATCAAGCATAGAAATTGTCAAGAACGCCGCGGAAACCCTAAGAAAAATTTGTGAATTCCTGGAAATCACGTGCACAGAACAATATCTCCAGGACTGCGCGGCCACTGTCGACCCAGTCCCCTCGATAACACGTGACTTTATAACATGGACGGCTGAGCAAAAAACTAGAGTATACGAGGAGATGAAAAAATACTCGTTTTTTACTGGTTATTCTTATGAACAATGAGTTTTCCACTTGTTTTGCAGCCTAGTTCTTTTTTTAAAGTTTTGTGCAGTCCAAAACTATTACCTTAGATCTGCATAGCAAGGTCTAAAATAAATAAAATAAATAAATAAATAAATATAAATTTCCTCTAAAACTGGACGAGTAGCCAGGATAAGACATATTCAAAATTGAAATAGTCTAAATAGTTTTAAAAAAATAGTTTAAAATTACAAGAGCTTTCGATTGCCAGTCTGCAATCTTTGACAAATAGAAAGACAATCTTTGACACTCTTTGTCAAATATTGCAGACTGGCTGGTAATTTTAAACTAATTTAATTTAGCAAAAATGCAAAAGTTCGCTTCTGATCGGCCGAACTTTTGCTCATTTCAGACGCAAATAGGTCAATTTGACAGATTCATAGGGAAAGAAGAGAGTTTGAAATTAAATTGTGGTTTTCTTTAACCAGATAACGTTTTTTTTTAAAATTTTGAATACAGCCATTGTCTCGTTTTATAAGTTCGTGAAGAGTTGGGAAATCGAGTGGATTTCAATTAAAAAGCAAAACCACGAAACGCGAAGGCATTTCTTGATGAACGTAAAATTGCTTGACAGGTAGTATCATTAATATCAATACGCTACGTTAAAGACACTTGGTTAACAAGCTTCTAGCTTAGGGTAGTTAGCAGCTGGTGGTTGGATTGAAGGGTGTTTTGATAACAGAACATAATTACAATGTGATGTAGACCCTTCTGTTTTCGTTAGCTGAGGTTACGCCTTGAATGATAACCATGCCTTAGAAACTAACGAACGCAAAGGTAAGGATGTGCCACGCTCTTTGCACGGCTAACAGAGTGTAAAATACAGGGCAACAAGTAAAACAGTAACCCTCAGTTAGATTGAATCATGTACATATTAAGCTATTTAAATACCGTTTTTTTTTTCGTTTCGCCTGACCAGAAGAACTACTGTTGTTATAGAGAATCGAATTAATCTGTTTGCTTACTTAGTAAAATGTTAACATACATTAAGTTTAAATTTAAAATCTCCGTTTTCTTTTTTGTTTTTTTTGTTTTTTTTGGTTCCCTTTTTGAAAGCTCATACACATGTTCGCGTCTCTTGTGTTAATTTGCAGTTACTTATATAATTAACAAGTGCATCCTCTTTTATTGAGACGACGTTTACACTAATTTCTGTCGTGTTTTGTCGATGAAGCTAGTTATCTTAAAGAGGTTACGATGCGATTTGCGCATCCTTAATTTGTCAAGTTCGTCGTTCGTAATCCATGTCAATCCTCTCCATCCTTAACCATCCTTGTTTCTTTATGGTTTATTATTCTCGTTGGTGTTTTCTATCTTAGTAAACTATTATTTTCAGATTTCCTTTCATTTAAAGGTAATTTTGCACGTGGCCAAAATAACTCAAAATATAGTAAATGAAGCTCCTTTTAGTTATATCAGAAGACCCTATTTGCTTCTTAAGTTCGTAAGGAAAGCTTGCACCTGGCTATGGAGCAGTTCTTTTTACAATCGTTAGCGGTTAAATATCCAGGCAAATTGTCGACTAATTTTTGCGGTTGATGGGCCATTTGCGTGTGTGTGTTCTGTACATGTAACTGTCTTTCCTAGGGGCAAACACTATTTAAATATAAGCGTTGCAAATGATCCTTCACGGTTTCATTAACCATGGATCTCGCGAGAATTTTACCGGTCTCGCAGTCTCGTGTTTTAAGTGATTATGTGCAAGGCCGAGAAAGTCTCGAAACGCCGATTTGTTTGTTTGTCTTTTTTTTTTTTTTTATAAATGAATCTGAACGTCTTGAACTCGCAATTGGAGAAGTCGGACTCGCATAGAAAAACGCTAATCCCGTCTTCTTTTGCCATTCCCACGCTTAGATATGCAATATTACAGACCTTAGCTTTCACTTAACACTTATCACTCAGAATTTTTTTTTAATATTTTAGGGGGTCCACACGGCTTACGTGAAGTTCTCTTCCAAGAGTTCCTGACTGTACACGCAAGTTCATTTATTACAGGTAATCCCTTAAGTAGAAGCTAAGCCTTTATTGGGGTTGACACACTTAACAAAATAAATGATAGAGAAAAATATGCAAAAATGATATTCCCTGAGATCCTTCTTTAGAGAAAAAACGCAAAATATGTAATATAAAAAGGTCAAAAAGAAAATAGATCGTTAACCATTTTGAAATTGCATTTTCAACATACCTTACTTTAGTCATTTTAAACTGTACTATTAGTTAGTAAATTAATTAAGTCATATATTTCTTTTTTTGGAAGATTTTCTATATTTCCGCAGTGCGTAGGTTACAAGATTTACGATGAGCCCAACACAAGCAATTGTCATTTTACTTGTGTTGACCAGAGTGGCCACTGTAAACACGAAAAAACTGACGTGCTCGATTACAAGGACGTTTATTGCCACTGAAGGTAAACTAGAGCACAAACCTTTTTATCTGAGTCTATTGAGGAAGCAAGCAAGGGAATGATGGAGGAAGGAAGAGATTAAGAAAAAAAGAGTAAGGAAAAGAAAGCGAAGGAGTTAGGCGACAAGAGAGGGAGCTATTGAAGTGAGCTCGGGAGGGGCAGAGGGTAGGGACAGAGCAATTCTAGAGACGGAGGGAGAGAGAGCGATGGGACGTAGAAGGGAGAGATGGAGATAGGGAGCAATAGAGGGAGTTCTTGTAGTGTTAAGGTGGTTCGGAAGGGGGGGGGGGTAGGAAGTAATTTAAATGAGTAATATAACTGGTCATGATCGAGTGAAATTTCTACCGAGAACTATAATAAATAAATACTACTGTTATTTTTAGCTTTTCCATCGCAGTCAGAACTATTTACTTACGAAATCAATAATCCAAGTATCACTTATTCACTCCCCCTCTTTTATATTATTTGTTTCAAGATCACGTTCTCTCAGGACATACACTCTCGACCCACCAAGTGTACTCCCTCCCAGAATGCCATACGTTGTGTTTGGATCATCCAAGATGTTTATCGTACAATTTTCAAGCGACTTCAATTTCGTCGAGGAACTTTTGTGAGATCAATGACGCTACAGGCAAAATGTGTCCTCAAGACTTGGTCAGAAGCACCGGTTACAAATACTACGAGGATAAGGTGATAGGGTGAACGCCATCAAAAATTTCTTTAAACCAGATTAAAAAAACATTTTGATATTTATGAATTTTCTGGACTTGTTGTGAGACCAAACCAAGAGAGGTCACGTGGTACATCCTGACAATATAATTTCGTACCAAGCGCTTCTTCCTGGTGGGGAGAGAATTCACTGATAACTGATCTAATGAAGCAGTCTGTTATGCTCATTGTTTAAATAGTTTCGATAGGTTCAATTTAGTTTTTGAAAATAGCTGGATGTTAGTCTCACAATACACTGTAAGCAGCTCCACTCTCTTTATAGTCTGTATAGCGAGACACTAAAGACAACTTCAGGGCAAAAATCGGGCTAGTAGGAAAAAAGAAGAGTCTTCTTGCAGTCTTGTCCTACAAAGCTACGAATGCTCGCAGCTATTTTTTCTATGAGTTCTGTTAGTATTCTATTCTTTCTTAGCCTATGTATACATTTAACCAAAACGTATTCATCACATAAACATTTTCCTCTTGTATTTAGGATGCAACTTGTGGAAGGCAGTGTCCTCCGCGAGGTACGTTTAAATCAGTTCACCTAATAAACAATTATTCCATGAGCGCGCGTTGGATATGAGCTGGCTATAATCACCTCATATTCAACAAGCGAGAGTGGAATAATTGTTTTATTAAAAACGTTCCAAAATATAGAAAACTAGACTAAACTAAAAATAAAAACGCCCCAAAAATTCACGCGTTTGCTTACTATATTTGTAGAGCATGGTATAATGGCTCATAACCCATGATGGCTTAGCCAATGAAAACTCTCAAATTGTATTATCCAATGATCCAGTTTTTAATAATATCAGACATACACTTTTCTTTTTTTGTTGCCTGTTTACTGGTATATATTGCTTGCTAGTTGTTGGTTGGTTGAATTGGCTCATTGGTTGGTTACTAATTAAGTCGAACGCAGAAAGTGCCTGGCAAAATAATGAAAAACCTGTGTATTTTATTGCCTTTCTCGACAAGATACAAGCAACCGTGTAAAACCATAATTTCTCTTAGCCTCTTTATTAGGCCTTTTGAAAGCACGATGCTTTGGTGGAACCAAAAATTCCGTATTAAAACAGTAACTGGGTATTACTACTTATGTTAACATGTTAGCACGAAATAGTAACCAACTTTGTGAACAGAATAACTAATTGGGAGTGAATGTATCAAGGAATGGCCACACATTGCTCAACGTGAAAATCTCAGTTTGCTAAGTAGATGCCCTTCAACTATACTTGCTTGCTTTACTTACTTGCTTTTCTTTTTCTGTCGTTTGCTTGCGTTTTTTGTTCCTCAGTTGCTGCATACACATGATTCACAATGATTTTTGACGTGCACACAACTCAATCAGTATTTCGGATAGTTCCCTTCAGTTGATATAGTTCATTTATCCAGCAGATGGCGACGGAAAAAATTTCCAACTTTATTTCCCAAACAAATCCGTCACCGATTACGTCAGATTTGATCTGCTGCGTTGTGCGCCACCGCTGACCGCTTTCACTGTTTGCCTTTGGTTGAAAACCGCAGATACAGCTGATGATGGTGCCAGCTTTAGTTACTCACTTCCAGGGCAAGATAACGAGATTTTACTGACCGACTACACCAGTCTCAGATTCCTAATTGCTAATACATACAGGTAAATACCCAGAAAGCTTGTGAATTATGTATTTCTAATGGCGAACGGGGAGTAGGGATGGTGCAGTAGTGAGCGCGCTCGCCTCCTACCGTCTGTCCCGGGTTCCCTTCGGGCCCGGTGCCATTCGTGGGTTGAGTTTGTTGTTGATTCTCGCCTTCCTCCGCAGGTTTTTCTCCCTTCACAAAAACCAGCATCTCCAAATTCCAATTTGGCAAGGATAGAGGACCTGCATGAAAACTAGCCAAGGCCGATGACTGCGGCTTCCTTGCTAAATATTGTAAATTTGAAGCCATCTCGAGACATCCTTGTCTACAAAAGTAACGTTTCCCAACACTTGCTGTTCCCTAAAGAACCCAACGCACCTTTGTCTGTTTCCAAAATGAAAAGAAAATAACTGATGTCCAAAAGAAGTTATCGAGAACACTGCTGAGGGAGGGAGAGCGAAGAGAGAAGGGAGGTGGGGAAAGAAGTAGGAAAACTCCTAATGCTGCCGAGCCCGGAAAAAGCGGCTGAGATATCAGACGCTTGGCTCGAAGGTTACTTTTTTCCTTTTTTCACAGTGAGATGGGATTGGCTGTAAATGATGACTATTGGTACCACATCTGCACAACATGGGAGAATACCGCTGGCTCGTGGAACTTTTACGTTGATGGCGAACTTTGGGAAAATGGCGTTGGTTTGGAAACAGGACATGTGATCGACAACAACGGCATTTTCATTCTTGGCCAGGATCAAGACAGTTATGGGAGTGGCTTCGAACAGTCCCAGAGCTTTTTTGGCCAAATGTATGGTGTAAACATGTGGAATAGAGTTCTGACGAAGGAGGAGATTTCGCACATGTCGACAAATTGTTCTTATGGGGTGGGCAACTATCTGAGGTGGAGTGATTTCGTGACTGGCTTACATGGAGGTGTTACCGTGACATCTCCAGCTACCTGTTTGCCATGAGCTGAGTATGCACATGTTAGATGAAAAACTGACAACTTTTCACCATCCATGTTAAATTTGTATTTTGCTGCACAAAATCGTTTTGTAAAGATTTTAATGCCCACACACGGATTTTGCACATTCGTTTAAGAGCTATTGGTTATTGGAGTCTGGAGGCGAACAAGTTATGACAAATTATACTTCTATCTACTCAGCTTGTTTAGCTTTCTTACTGTTCTGAGTGGTTTAACTTAATTGTTTTTATGCTGTGTTTTTTTTCTTTTCTTGTAAATCTGGCGAAATAAAATGGTTGGTTGGTTGTTCTTGTTGTTATTGTGACTGTTTTTGACAACTTAAAAGAAAAATCGCCAAGAAAATTGTCAAAATTTGTTCAAATACCTGGCAGCGCTTCAGATATTTAGCTAGTATGTCATAAATTTTCTTATTTGGTCTTCAAATTATGCGCCCATATACAAACCGGTAATAAGTCATTTAATATACAATCCACGGCTAACAAACTATGTCAATGCAGCTACTTCGTTATGCGCTAACATTACACACAGGGCCGGATTTTAGCGGCCGGCTTGTGGCTGGAGTAATGCTTTTCTTGTTTTATGAAGTAAGCACAAAGTAATAATATTTATAGTAGAAATAAAGTCGTGTATGCATTTCATTTTCTTTGTGTCTTCTAATTTTGCTTGTAAGCTACTCGAGATACACCTGTAAGTCAAGGCCGACTAATTAACGTATTGTTGCTTACTCCTTTAGAATTTTATAAACGCTAGAACACAGGGATAGGTCTATGAGCCCCTAACCCACCTCCCCTAAAAGAAAAGAAAAAGAAAACTTAAAGGTCGTAGTTGATTGTTGTGAACATGGTTAAAGTGTACATGACAGGTATTTTGTTGTTTTTTTTTTTAATTTGCTTGATGAAATCTAAGTGAATGATATAATAATATGGAAATCGAAAGAAAAAATGGACATGTTTTTTTTTTTTTTTTGTCATTGCGTTTTGGGCATGAAATTTAACTTCCGGGTGAGTCAAAAACCACGAGGGGTTAGGACCTAGGGGACCAGTCTCTGACGTCAAAACAGGAACGTACGCCTACATATCTTTCGCAAACGATTAAAATTTTGAACCAAACTTGGAGTTAAGCCTCATAGTATAATTTAATTATTTTTTTCGTTTCTATTTGTTTGATTCGCAAAATATGTCAATGAAAACTAGAAATATAGAATAATCTTTGGCAACAACTAACCTTAGATCTATCCAAGTTTATCTAGGGGAGGTAGAAGCCAAGGTGACAAGAACGACACGAACAAATACACGGAAGAGGCGTTCGAGAATTAAGTGTTCCACATACGTGAGTTAACTTTGACCTGCTAAAACTAAGCTTCTAAATATTTGGCTCCACAAAGAAAGACGTCTGAGCTGACTTTCAGACCAAAAGGGATTCTGACCCACTTGTATGTTCCCCAAGGTGTATTGAAGGTTGTCAATATAGTGAGCTCCCAGAGTCCGGTTTCAACAGCCTATAGCCTGACTCGACTTCAACGACTGTGAAATACCTTAAGTCATAAAGTTCAGCAGTAACGTCGTAGTAGCACTGAGTAGTACTGTTTCCTTTTGATGCTCTTATTGAATTCTTTTGGATCGAGACAGAGTCGGATCGATGCATTTGTTTTTGCAATAGGTATATCCTATTGATCCAGTGTAAATGTTGCGCAATGCAACTGGTTCGATAATACCTAAACTCCATAGAGATGAATAGGTATTTTCCCAACAACCACAACGGTGCAAAAATTCATCAACCTTATCTCTGTGCATCTTAGTTGCACGTACAATTAATATTAAAGGTAAAGCCACATGAATTTAGGGTAGTTACATGTGCTTGCAGTTTGCCAAACATTTTTACATTTTGTCTGAACACTTCAATTTATGGAAACCATTGGGGTATCTTAAATTTAAAATATAAGTTAGCTGTTAACTGTAGTCGAGGTTTTAAAATTGCAAACGTTAGTAATCGATTAAAATATTCATTGTTTCTACCGCAATATTATAAAGGTTTAGATGAGGCGACCTTTGTTGTGACTATTGACATCCAATTCGGTATCATTGTTTGTCTTTCCCACAGTGATGAAACAAAGCTGTCAATCACAACCGATAGCGTCGCATCTGCAAAACGCGCATGGAAGAACACCGCTGGTTCATAGCACGTTTACGAGGGCGGCGCACACAGGCATAGTAATAATTTGAAGACGGGCCGCTTGATCGAAACTAACTGCATTTGCTTCATGGCCTATTTGGCACTCGGGGTAACAATATTCTGGTGAATAATTTACGAGCACAGTGTTTAAGTAAAAAAGAAAAAAAAAAGAAGCGGCAAAACATAATTCCAGTTGAAAGCGGAATATTTTAAAATCTACGACGTTCAGGGACATCTCCGCCCAATTCTTTACTGTTTTCCTTATGGTCATATTCTCCTAAGGTTTTACGTAAAATAAGGTAAAAAGTCCACATTTTGCCCATAATTAAGTACGTGCAGTCTTTCCAGCAAAAGCTGAGTAAATTGGCACCTCATTTACACTAAGCTAATGACATTGAGCAGCTGAGATGAATAAGTATTTTCCCAGCAACCACAACAGTGCAAAACATAATCATCAACCTAATCTCTTTGCATCTTAGTTGCACGTGCAATTAGTGTTAAAAGGAAAGCCACATGAATTTAGGGTAGTTACTTGCAGTTTGCCAGACATTTTTTTTTTATTGCTTCCTTTCATGGACACTTTTGGGGTATCATGACTTTAAAATATAATTCATTTGTTCGCTGTAGCTTTAAACTAGACCACGATGGCAATCGCTGTTACGTAATTCAAGACAGAAGCTGTTTTTTACGCTACACTCTTTATACTTTTATGAGAATATCCTTTTTTCTTACCGAGACTGAATGTTCCTATTTTTCTGCTGATTTTAGGCTGAAAATATTCAGTTGTGAACATTCTTATATTCGAGCGTATAAAATTTCTATTTTCGAAGGCATTTGGTGTCTGGATGGTATTAGAGCAATTTTGGAGCCAGCCTGCAGGCTTCAGAGCATCAAACATACGGTTAATGCTGTTTTCTGTTGCGTTTTGGCTAGTTTTACCGTTTAGAGAAGAAAGAATTTTATACGGTTTACTTAAAAACAGATAATTGTGTTGTATTTAAAAATTTTCAAGACACAAAAAATATATATTCTTAACAAAATTTCCGCATCTCTCGGGTTTAATCTTAAAATATTCTTAAAATTTCGCAAATGTAAGCCTCTATATTCTTTTAAAACATATTCTTATAAACGAGTGTAATGGTGTTCTATTGAAGTTTCACGTGAGGCTCAAAATTCGACTGCACACAGTCTTTCAAGCAAAAGCTGAGCAAATTGTCCTGATTTCATTTACGCTAAGCTGATGTAAATGATATTGAGCAGCTGAGAGGAATTTCGAAATTGCCCAACTTTTGAGAGCGCCCAGTGTTTGCAGTGTAAGCTGAGTAAATAGTCATGTCACACTGAGCTAATGACATCGTGCAGCCACAAATTGCAGAAAAACAAGAGGCAAAACATAATTAAGTTGTTAAGGAGTTGACCGTCAGAACGACGTTACTGAGCAACGAGCACGTCTTTCGTCAAGACAGAAGCAAAAACGGTGTCATTTTACCCAGGTTCTACGTGATTGTAAGGTAAGAGTCCAGAATTTGAGTGCACGAAGTTATTCACTGAGAGCTGAATAAAATCCATTCAGTGAGCGTCATTATATTTTCACCTTCCCAAATATATTGCACAGCTGAAACGAATGTGAATTTTCTTAACAGCCACTTTTGTTAAAAGGCTATCATCTTGATCTTGGCATTTTGTTTAGTTGCATGCGCAACCAGTGGTAAATTAATATGAATTAAGAGTAGTTACTGACAGTTTTCCAAACATTTTCATTTTTTCGTTTCTGTATTCTTGCGATGTCATGTTGTCACCGACAAACTAACAACATTTAATAATAATAGTAACGGTGGACTCTTTCGGTTCTACATTTTATCATTTAGGCAGTGAGGTTCGCACGTTATTCGATGCGAAGAAAATTAAATCTCGCAATTTATCTAAGATTTACAGTTCATTTATTTTACTGGAAAAACGAAAAAAAAGGATTCAAGGTCGTTATCGGAATAGAAGCGGTGAATCTTTTCACTGGGTACTGATATAGGATTTATAAATGTAATCGGTTGAAATGTAATACAACTGACCTTTCGCCGTAATCGATAATAACCATTGTAGAAGTATATTTTGAAATAATCTGGAGTATATTTGGGAATTTCCGTAGCTAAATTCCTTGGAAAGTTTAATCCAATTGTTGCGTCATACACGTTAGCACACTCTTTTGCTAAGTAACTATAACCTCTGATAAAAACTCCTGAAGTTATGGAAAACTAATTGTCTTCACGTCTCACCGTATTTCATTTATTGGAACCTTGTTACATCTGTAAAAGGTGTTTGAGTTTGGGAATGAAAGTGATTTTTTCCTAGCGATCTTTTGTCTGGAGCTCACGTTCGCTCACACCTTAAAACCGTAAGTTTCAAGTCGCAAGTCACAAGTTTCACTAGCCTCGATAAAAAATTGTTGTGTTGCCTACGTTACTGATACACCTTTGAATTTCATGGTTAAACGTGGAATTATCAGTTTCCGTCGAATTTCACTCGTTCTCAGCCAGAGAAATATTTCTTACTTTACGAAAATTTACACGAACAAACAAACCCTAATTAATGCCATATTCATTTAGCTTTCAGAATTGCGCGCAACTGGAATCACCTAATTTTCGCATAAGAACAGTGTTATCTTAAAAAGAAAATAATAAGTTAATGCTTCGCGTTTAATACAGTTGCCTGTAGAAAAATTNGGAGAATACCGCTGGCTCGTGGAACTTTTACGTTGATGGCGAACTTTGGGAAAATGGCGTTGGTTTGGAAACAGGACATGTGATCGACAACAACGGCATTTTCATTCTTGGCCAGGATCAAGACAGTTATGGGAGTGGCTTCGAACAGTCCCAGAGCTTTTTTGGCCAAATGTATGGTGTAAACATGTGGAATAGAGTTCTGACGAAGGAGGAGATTTCGCACATGTCGACAAATTGTTCTTATGGGGTGGGCAACTATCTGAGGTGGAGTGATTTCGTGACTGGCTTACATGGAGGTGTTACCGTGACATCTCCAGCTACCTGTTTGCCATGAGCTGAGTATGCACATGTTAGATGAAAAACTGACAACTTTTCACCATCCATGTTAAATTTGTATTTTGCTGCACAAAATCGTTTTGTAAAGATTTTAATGCCCACACACGGATTTTGCACATTCGTTTAAGAGCTATTGGTTATTGGAGTCTGGAGGCGAACAAGTTATGACAAATTATACTTCTATCTACTCAGCTTGTTTAGCTTTCTTACTGTTCTGAGTGGTTTAACTTAATTGTTTTTATGCTGTGTTTTTTTTCTTTTCTTGTAAATCTGGCGAAATAAAATGGTTGGTTGGTTGTTCTTGTTGTTATTGTGACTGTTTTTGACAACTTAAAAGAAAAATCGCCAAGAAAATTGTCAAAATTTGTTCAAATACCTGGCAGCGCTTCAGATATTTAGCTAGTATGTCATAAATTTTCTTATTTGGTCTTCAAATTATGCGCCCATATACAAACCGGTAATAAGTCATTTAATATACAATCCACGGCTAACAAACTATGTCAATGCAGCTACTTCGTTATGCGCTAACATTACACACAGGGCCGGATTTTAGCGGCCGGCTTGTGGCTGGAGTAATGCTTTTCTTGTTTTATGAAGTAAGCACAAAGTAATAATATTTATAGTAGAAATAAAGTCGTGTATGCATTTCATTTTCTTTGTGTCTTCTAATTTTGCTTGTAAGCTACTCGAGATACACCTGTAAGTCAAGGCCGACTAATTAACGTATTGTTGCTTACTCCTTTAGAATTTTATAAACGCTAGAACACAGGGATAGGTCTATGAGCCCCTAACCCACCTCCCCTAAAAGAAAAGAAAAAGAAAACTTAAAGGTCGTAGTTGATTGTTGTGAACATGGTTAAAGTGTACATGACAGGTATTTTGTTGTTTTTTTTTTTAATTTGCTTGATGAAATCTAAGTGAATGATATAATAATATGGAAATCGAAAGAAAAAATGGACATGTTTTTTTTTTTTTTTTGTCATTGCGTTTTGGGCATGAAATTTAACTTCCGGGTGAGTCAAAAACCACGAGGGGTTAGGACCTAGGGGACCAGTCTCTGACGTCAAAACAGGAACGTACGCCTACATATCTTTCGCAAACGATTAAAATTTTGAACCAAACTTGGAGTTAAGCCTCATAGTATAATTTAATTATTTTTTTCGTTTCTATTTGTTTGATTCGCAAAATATGTCAATGAAAACTAGAAATATAGAATAATCTTTGGCAACAACTAACCTTAGATCTATCCAAGTTTATCTAGGGGAGGTAGAAGCCAAGG